AGCCCGCTCGGCCACCCGGGCCAGAGAACAACGGGAGCCCAGCGGCAGAGTGTGCCTGCAAGGGGGGCGGGCGCGACGACGAGGAGGAGGACGGAGACCACGAGGGCGACGGGCGATCGAGCAGCAGCGCGGGGGATGGGGGGGGGGGGGGGGCGAGCGGCAAGGGCGGGGGGGGGGCGGGAGGGAGAGCACGCGGCGCAAGGGCGCGCGCCCAGCCCCCCAAGGGGGGGCCCAGGACCGGCGGGGGGGCGCGCCGCTCGGCCACCTGCGAGCGGCCCTGGTGCGCGTGCGAAGGGGGCGCAGGCCCCTCCCCACGGAGGCATCCGAGAGAGGGGGGGGGAGGAGGAGGAGGAGGAGGAGGAGGAGGAGGAGGAGGAGGAGGAGGAGGAGGAGGAGGAGGAGGAGGAGGAGGAGGAGGAGGACGAGGAGGAGGACGAGGAGGAGGACGAGGAGGACGACGAGGAGGAGGAGGAGGAGGAGGCGGAGCAGGGTCCCGGGGGGGGTCCTGGTGGTCGTGACCGCGGGCCCCCGAAACACGGACACGCTAGACCAGCACAGCCTCGAAACCATGTTTCCCCACGGCGACACGAGCAAAGAATGGCGCTGCGCAGGAGGGCAGCACGGACCAACACTGCACTGCAACACTCCCGGAATCATGCCGGACAAAGGCCATGGCAACCTGCAAAACCTCTGCTAGCAGGGTGGCGACATCCCAGCGCGCAGGCAGCCGCTATCGCACCGCGCTCTGCGATCGGCGTCGGAAGGACCCCGAGGAGCCCGCACCAAAGGCCACTACGGCGAAGGGTCCCTCTTACGCTTCATGATGCAGTTGCTTCTAGTTTTAGGGATCATCGAACCGGATTAGGTCCAGGATCGAGCCGCATTCAGCGGGATTGCACTGGACTAAGCGGGAACAGGCCAGATTCAGTGGGACTGAGCCGCACTGGGTCAGCTATCGATCAGGCATGGATGCGCCAGCGCCGATTCATCATTTAACCTCCCAGGAGTTGCATCCAAGCTCAGGGAAGCCTCCCGTACCCTCTTGTTGGTTCATGCGAGTCGAAGCTAATCGACTGATCGACGCTAATCGGCGCTGGATCGACGCTCATCGAGGCTAAAAATCGTCGCGTTCTCATCGACTACTGGACGCGAGCGCACGTTAACGTAGTCCAGAAAACGGAGCTGCCAGGACACACGCGGCTCTCAGAATCTGCCACCCCAGTGAAAAGGACCCCCGCACCCGCCTCCAGATGAGGGACCGACAGAAATAGCAACAGCGCCACCCTGGCCTCGCGTTTGCCCATCTGGGCCTCCTGGGAGGCCCTCGCTCTGTTCGATCACAATGCACCCCCGGGAGAGGTCCAGGCAGTCATGGCGTCGGTGGCGGCACACCGGGGCCGCCGACATGGGTCGGGAGAGCGGAAGTTGAGCAGGGACCGACTGTCCCGGCATTCCTACAGGCCTACCACGACATGTTCGTAGAACCCATACATGTTCTACGAACAATCACCATGCTCTGAGACCATAAACCCGGTGTGTTAAAAAAACAGTCCCAGCCAGAAATGTTCTGGGAAGATTTCGTGGAAACCACGAAAGGTTCTTAGAACATTGTCTGGTAGGAGCGCCAGGACGCCTCGCCACCCACTGCTTGAGGAAGAGCACCCCCACCTGGCTCCTGGCACCTCGACGGCATCGCCAGGACACCCACGGGGGGGGGAGGTCAGGGCGGGCTGGGCAGGGAACAGCACCTTCCCCCCCGGGATCCTTCCCCTCCCCCACTGGGTGTTCTGCTGCCTTGTCTTTGTTCGACCGACCTCGGAGCAGCCCCCCTGAGAGCTCTTGCCGTCGCTCGGACGTCCAGTTCCCGTGCTTGTTTCGGTTTCGTGCGTGTTTTGTTTTGCCCGATGGTCCAGGATGGTCCTTGACGGTTCTCGCCGATAAAAAATGCACATGTCCGAGCGAATGCCAAGGCCTCGGAGCAGCCCCCCTGAGAGCTTGGCGCCGCACTTCTTTCCGCCGCGGGCGATGCTGGACTGTCTCGGGCCTCGGCACCCTCACGGACCGAGGCGGCTCGCAACATACGACAGCGAGACGGGGTATAGGGCTGCGGTCGTGATTTCTCACCGTGCTGAGACTGTTTCGCAACGTCGGCCCTGAGGGCCTCCCCAGAGACCTCTGACACGACATGAAACCTATCTCACAGGCCCAGACACATATAGAAATCTGGCTCATCCTGACAGCGCACGCTCACGAACGATACCGTATTCGCTCTACAACTGCTCTTGCTACATTGTTCTCGCCGTCTTCGCGCGAGTCCGCGCTGCCGCCGCGGCGGCGGCTGCCGCCGCCGCGGCCGCGCCTGTCGCGGCCGCCGCCGCCATGGTCCGGGGAGCAGAAAAGCCCCTCCATACCCCCCACCTGGCCCTCCCTCCCCTGAGGGGGGAGCCAGGGGGGGTGGGTATATACTCACAGTGTGCTTGCTGCTGGCCATCCTGACGGAATCTGGAGCCGAAGCTTCGTGGCAGGCCAAGAAGGGGGGAAGAGGGGGCCAGGTAGGGACGGAGCTGCGTTTTCTTTCCCCGACATGGCCCGCCATGCACGCCGGGATCACGCAAGGAGGGAGGTGGCAGCGGCCTCCTGGCCGGCTTGAGCCCAACTGGACATGATCGTCCTCCGCCATCCTCCTGCACCCATGCTCTACAAACTAGTTCACCGATACGTGCTTGCACTCAAGGCGCTGCCTTCTCTAACGAAGTGCGTGGCTGGGTCGGTGGATGTTTCACCGCGCCGCCGCCCGTTGCAGCCCTTCGCTGCCTCGTTACCGCACACTCGGGGGGCCCGTGGAGGCTTCGACGTGTCCCTGCCCGTTGCCGCCTCGCTGCCCCGCCCACTTGGAGGGTCCGTGGAGGTGCTGCTGCGTTGCCGCCCGTTGCGGCCTCGTTGCCACCAAATTGGAAGGTCCGTGGAGGCTTCGACCCGTATCCGCCCGTTGCCGCCTCGTTGCAGCTCATTCGGGGAGGTCAGTGGAGGCTTCGCCGCATCGCTTCGCGCTGCCGCCGCGTTGCCGCCCACCTGCGGGGGTTCCATGGAGACGTCGCCGCTTCGCCGCTCGTGGCCGCCCACTGGGGGTCCGTGGAGGTTTTGCCGCGTCGCCGCCCGTTGCCGCAGCGTTGCCGCCAACTCGGGGGTCCGTTCTACTTGCGCCGCGTCGCCGCCCGTTGCCGCCGCGTTGCTGCTCGATTGGAGGGCTCGTGGCGGTTTCGCCAGTTCGCCGCCCGTTGCTGCCTCGTGGCCGCCCACTTGGGGGGGTCCGTGGAGGTTTCGCCGCGTTGACTCTGTGTGCAACCTCGTTGCCACACACCGCGCTTGGGGTGGTCCTCGAGGTTGCACCACACAGCCTGCGCCACGTCGATGGCAACACATAGCTTGCACATCGAGGTGCAATAACTTACTGCTGTGGGTCTACGATGGCTAATATGTCTTTCGAATATCCGAACACGGAGGGGCTCGAATCCGTCAACCTGCAAGGATATGTGTATCCGCCACCGTGCTTGCACGGAGTGGGCGTGTTAGAATACGTACTGTTGGCTTGAAAATGTATCATAACATATGGTCTAAGGCCGACCCACCCCCTCCCGGCATGCGCGTGCGTCGTCGAAAATCGTCCCCTCAGAAATTGCATTCCAGCGCCCTGTTCAGCCTCCAAGGGGTCATCATTGTCTCCAGGACGGCTTCTCAAACAACCAGGACAACGCTAACATCGGCTCCAGATGGCGCAAGACGGCTCACGAGGCTCTCAGGACGGCCTCAAGACGGCCCAAGAGGCCTCCCAGAATAGCTCCAAGACAGCCTATGAGATCCCCGAGAGGGCCCGAAGTCGGCTCAAGAGGACGCCAAGATCGCCAAAGAGGCTCCCAAGAGAGCCCCAAGACGGTTCTCAAGCGCTTCCAAGAGGGCGCCAAGACGGCCTCCGAAGGCCTCAGACGGGCAAATCGCCTCCCCAAGAAGCCAACACGAGGCCCCACGAGGCCCCCCAAGAGGCTCTCAAGAGGCCTCCCAGGAAGCTCCTGGGAGGCCCCCCAGAGGCCTCACGAGGGCCCGAAGAAGCGTGATCCTCCTCGAACTCATTACTCTTGCTCTCTCTCTCTCTCTCTCTCTCCCTTGTTATTTGTGTTTGATGTCTCTCTCTCTCTCTCTCTCGCTCTCTCCATCTCCTCCTCTCCTTCATCTTCTTCCTCTTCTCCCTCTTCTTCCTCCTCCTCCACCTCCTCCTCTTCCTTCTCCTCCTCCTCCTCCTCCTCCTCCTCATCCTCCTCCTCTTCCTCCCCCTACCGCACGGACGAAGGTGATGTCGGGATCACGCCCCTCCCCAATTCAGACCACTTCTCTGAACTGCCGCGGGGTGTGAACTCGACCTGCTTGCCACAGCGCGGACGAAGACGTCGTCGAATTCACGACCCATCCTTATAATACAACGTGTCGGAATCGCGCTGTTCCTACACTCAGTCTCCTTCCTGCAGCGCTGTTGCATCGGTACGGTGGCGATGCTTGCCGCAGCCGAACAAAAGGTTGCCGACGCCAACCTTCTGTTCGGCAGCATATCAAACACCCCTAAGCCGACTCGCAATAGCAAGTAACAGTGAGACCACATCTCCATGAGAGCAGGGATACGATCGAGCAGGCAATCGTGCAGTCAAACAAGCACGCAAGCAGACATGTAATCCATCGACAAATGCAGCGATCGCTCACGCACGCAACCCTGCGGGTATACTACAATCAGGAATGGACACATGTACGCACGGCAACGTGCAAGCTTAGAAGTCATCAATCAAACATGCCAGACCATGCAAACAATCACGCAAGCGCGTAAAGGAAGCGCCAACCGAGCGCGTACCTGCACATGCGCTGAGATCTGCCTGCGTTTCGAGCGTCCCCCTACGCAACACACCAAATGCAAGAGGCAATATACGTCTCCATCTCATTCCTCCACCCCCCCTTTATCCTTGACTGCTGAAGGCAGAGCCCGTGCTTGCGCGAGCGCTTTAGTCCCTGCCTGAAGGTCAAGCTGCCTGCGGACTGGCGGGCGTCTGTTCGGATGCTATGCTTGCGTGGGTACACTGACACGCTACGTCGGAGTATGGTGACGGCGCTGGTGCACATCACCTCTTAGCTACATGTTCCCATCCCCGCCGATCCTCCCAGCAAGCTTTGTTCTTTCAGTGGGGCGTGGCGGCCAGGCAGTTAACCAGACGCTGGAACGAACCCAGGCCCTATTCAAAGACCGAGCTCGATTCTTAGCCATTCATCCGTTAACCGCTTGCAGTACTATGGAAATGGCAGGCAAGCAAATACATGGGCACGCCAGCCTGCTGAAAAAGGCGCGCATCGGCAGGTGATTCTGCACAGACTCGCCGAGCAGCGGAACAGGGGAAGAGGCAACGTGAACGGGGAAGGAAAAACGTCTGAGACAGTTACGAAGCGAAGCAGCAACATGGGCCTGCAGACCAGTGTCAACGCAAAACCCTGCTTGCACGGCTCGGCGCAGCAATTAAGCAGACGGCTCATGCGACCACTGATTGCGATGCTCTTGTGGGTGAAGAGCCAGCATATCGCATAGCCGGCCAGCCAGCAAGGAGCGACGTGAACTCTACGCACATAGGAGGCGGCATTCAAGCCCTACCACCACCAACCATCGACTATCCACAAAACATGGGCGGCGGGGGATTTTCGGAATCCGCCGCGTGCTCGACGAGTTCCGGAGCCTACCCCCGCCGCCCATCGAGCTGCCTGCATCGTGGATCGGGGAGGGCCGGGTGCGGACTTCGCCGCCGAGTGGTGGGCACGCCGACACGTCGCCCCGCCGGCCCGCCAGAAAGGAAGGATGTGCACTCCACTGCGCGTCTCTTGGGCGTGGCTTCATGGGGGGGGTCACAAATGGGGGGGTCAGAAAAGGTCCCCTTTCGTGCCCCTTTCGGGCCCCTCCAGAGCCCCAAGGGGGCTCGTTTAGGTACCGTTTGGGTTTCTTTTCGGACCGCACTCGCCGCCCCCCCATCTATGATCCCCCATTACGCAGCGCCCAAGTCTCACGCCCTAGCCCCGCGCCGGCAGCCAGAGAACAGAAGACGGCCACTTGGCGGGCCGGACTCTGAGGGGGAATGAGAGCATGTACGACGTGGGATGGGGTCGGCGGCGAGCGAGGGGGAAATTGAGAAGGAAGAGGCCTTCTCTGAAGGCGTCGGGGCTCCTCAGAAACCCGTGGGCCTTCCGAAAAGATTTGTGGGTCTTCGGGGAAGGCTTAGAGATCTCCTCTGAAGGCCAGAGAGCTTCTGAGCCTTCTGAGAAGGCCCGCCCCCTCTCACTTCCCCCACGGGCCGGTCGCCGAATGGGGGGTGATGGTGAGGTGAGGGGCTGGCGATGGGGACGCGGAGCGCTCAGAGCGCTCACAATTCACTGCGTCGGCAATGCTGGCTCCAATGCGAACTAGATGCCGAATCAGGATCCGTCACAGCTCCTGTAGGTCTGGCCGGGTGGATACCGAATTGCGGTGAATCGACTTGGAAGCCATCAGCCAATAAGCGGACGCACCCTGAGGAGCAAAAACTCCTAAAATTCGCCGGCCCAACAGCCCAGAAGCGTGCTGACATTTCAAACAAGATCGGGGAGACGTAAGACCCGGGTACGGGGGACTCGGAAATCCCCGACGAGGTCGTCAAAAAAAATGACGAGGCCGAACCTGCATTTTGACGAGGCCTCCCGCTGCAGACATCCCACGAAACTCCTCCTCGTCAAAATCCGAGTCGCGGTCGTCAAAAAACGATGGCGAACCCGAGTCCCGGCAAACCCGGGTCTTACGCTCCCCCGACAAGAGTTTGAGGATGGTTCCAGTTCGCGCGCGCGTGGTGGGGGTCCCCAGGCGAAGAGTGCTCCAGCAGGGTCCCAGCCATGTCCCGCCAGAGATGCCGGTCGGGAGCTGGGCGAGGGCTGGCAACTCCGCGGCTGCTAAAACGGCCTTCCCGGAGGAAAAAAACACAAACTCCTGGAAGAGAACGCAGCTCACCAGATAGTAAACGGGCTGCTTCCCCGAAGAGTAAAATCAAGTTCCTGGAGCTCCGTTTTAGCAGCCACGGGTTTGCCAGCCTTCGCCTGGCTTCTGAGCCAGAACTCCTGGGCGCGGCCTCTGGGCCCCCCGAGCGCCCCAAGGCAAAGGGGAAGGAAAGGAAAGGAAAGCTGAGCGCGGGCCGCGCGCGCGGCTACGCGCCCCTACGGGCTCAGCGAGAATTGGTCGGTCCATCTCCTAACAGGGCGTCCTCTGGCTCTGCGTCCGTCAGGGGCCCAGTCGCGGTCTCGTCGAGCCCACCAGTCGCAGCTCATGCCGTGGAGTTGCGACCCGTGGGTCCCGCCGAGCGCCCCGAGGAGGCGCCCAAAGGGTGGCACGCCCCACGGCCGTGGGCCAAGATCGTTCCACGATGGTCCACGTTGGTCCCCAGACGGCCCAAGAATGAAGTCGGGCGTGTCCCCCTACAGGCGGATGTTGGACGAAAGGTAATGACATAATTTAAACATACACCCAAGATGCTCAAACATCCGCCGGCCCCCCGGTGGGGCCACCAGGCTGTAGGACGGAGCTTCGCGGTTTCCTGTGCCAGTTGCAGCTTCCAGTTTCCACTGTTACAGTTCTGCGTCTTGCTGCTTACTGTTCCTTATTGACTTCTTGCTGCATATTGTTCCTTGTTGATGGACCGCGCGAGGGGGGGAGGCCCAAAAGGGGCATGTTTACCACACCCAAAACGTAGTGTCTGAATTGCTGCGGTGGGTAAAAATTATCACCCCTCACGCAGATCGGCGGGGTCAGGGTCCAAAAACACATTGGATTTGCTACATTCCTGAAATTCGGTGGCACCCCTCACGCAGATCGGCGGGGTCAGGGTCCAGAAACATAGTGGATTTGCTACGTTTCTGAAATTCGGTGGCACCCCTCACGCAAATCGGCGGCGGGGTCAGGGTCCAAAAACATATTGGATTTGCTACATTTCTGAAATTCGCTGGCACCCCTCACGCAGATCGGCGGGGTCAGGGTCCAAAAACACATTGGAGTTGCTACATTCCTGAAATTCGGTGGCACCCCTCACGCAGATCGGCAAAGTCAGGGTCCAAAACCACAAAGGAATTGCAACATTTCTAGAATTCGTAACACCCCTCACGCAGATCGGCGGGGTCAGGGTCCAAAAACACAAGGGATGCGTCACATTCGTAAAATTTGCTGGCACCCCTCATGCAAATCGGCGGGGTCAGGGTCCAAAAACACAGGAGGTTTGCCACGTTTCTGAAATTCGGTGGCACCCCTCACGCAGATCGGCGGGGTCAGGGTCCAACAACACATGGGATTTGCTACATTTTTGAAATTCGGCGGCACCCCTCACGCAGATCGGCAGGGTCACGACGTCTTACCAATCGCCAGGTGTGGTAACCCCTCTGGTCATCTATTGGTTTTGCTCATTACGAGTCGGCCTCGCATGAAATTCCGATACTGCTTCACGACAGCGCCCAGGCCTCATGACATAGCTCGTGCGTAGTGCATTCTCCGAGAGAGGGGGCCGGCGGCAGGGGGCGAAGCCCTTACGGAGGTAATAAAAAAATCGTCCCCAGACTATTTCTTCACTATTTCTGAATATTCCTCCTGTAGAGGGACAGGCCCGACTTAACCCAAGAAGCGCCCAAGCTGCTCCAGGAGGGTTCCAAGAGGACTTCGAGAGGCCCCGAAGACGAACACATCATTGATTTCGCCAGGGTTTTTGGACGATTTTGGCGGTGCCGCCTTGAGAGCTGCAGACCGCCCTGGTCGACACGAACAGCATCCAAGGGAGCCGCGATATGGCCCAAGATGGCCCGAAGACGGCCCGAGAGGCCCCCAAGACGGCCCCATGATGGCCCCAAGAGGGGGCCAGAGGGGGAACCCGAACAGACAATTCGAGCTCTCGGCCCCAAAGGGCGTCCGGGAAGCCCACAAGCGGCCCCCAAGAGGCCCTCAAAAGGCTCCCAAGACTCCCAACAGGCCCTCAGGAAGCCCCGAGAGGCCTACAAGAAGCCCCCAAGGGGCTCCCCAGAGGCTTCAAACCTGCTCCCCAGAGGCTCCCTCCGAAAAGACCCCAAGAAGCATCCATGAGGACTTTGACCCACAACTCAGGTACGTCTCGAAACTCTACTGGAGCTCTCTCGAGCCATCTTGGCGTCCTCCAGGGCAGGTTATCGGCTTTCCTCGACTGGGTGCGAGCCACATCTCAAAAAATCTCCTCGAAGACGGTCCTGCCTGCCATACCGTTCCCCCTGGACACGAGAACACCACCACGCAACCACAATGATGCAAAATGGGCCGGAGGAATGAGCGAAGCGATTGAATAAGCAAACGCACGATGAGGAGCAACGACCTCTACGCCGTCGGGACTATACACTGGATGCGAAGGAGCGGAAGCATCAAATCCCCATTCTACGTCGAGCGCTTCAGCCGCAAACGTAGGGGAAACTCAGGGAGCTTCCTCCCTCTCTGTCTCTCTCTCTCTCTCTCTCGTTCCTCTTTTCCCCCTCTTCGCCAAAAGAAACAAACGCACTCCTTCCGCCTGGGAGGCCTAAGCTTCGGGGAGGCTTACCGCTGCCACTCGACTGGCAGCCGACCAACAACAGTGAGCCCAGGAGATCATATTCGTTCGCGCGCGCTGGACCACGACGGTAGTGGTGGTGTCGACGTGTTCCCCGATGTGTGCTGTCACCTACTCTGGCGCTCCTGGCGAGGCTCGAGCACGCGGCAAGCTGGACGCACGTGACGCATCTGGCGCGCTGGGCGCGCCTGGCACGGTTGGGTCCCCTGGGCATCGCTCGGACGTCCATTCCCTGTGCTTTTTTCGGTTTCGTGCGTGGCTTTTTCGCCAAATGATCAAGGGTGCTCCTCGATGGCCCTCGACGACGGAAAAATGCACACGTCCGAGCGATGCCAAGAGACCTCTAGCGCCTGAAAAGTGTGGCGGGTAACTAAGGGATCACTCGGGTGGCGAAACACAAAAGGTGTCAGTCCTGTGGTGGCGCGTGGCGCGTGGCGCACCTGGTGCGCGTGGCGCACCTGGTGCACCTTGTGCGCGTGGCGCACCTTTTGCACGCGCGGCGCAACACTCGCCAGCGTCACGCACCCACCTATAGAGCCCAGATGGGTTCCCAAAAACGGTCCGTCGGATTGCATCCTCTGCAAATTACCAGCCTCGAACGTATCCCTATCCCTAAGATTGACACGCCAAAAGGCGATGACAATCTTAAGGATTCGCCCTCAAAACAGAAGGGAATCCCTACGATTGGCATCGTGATGAGGAGGTGCCCAGCATAGGGATAGGGATATGTTCCAGGCTGGTAAGCAAATTCTGACTCTCGGGTGCCACGTAGATGGTGGCAAGGCGGGTGGGAAGGAGCGGGGCAGCCAGCGGCGTTCCCGTGGGAACTTGACCCCTTCGACCCCCGCTCCCCGGGATCGGAACGACAACTCCGGCAAGTGCCAGGCATCGTTTTCGGCACAATCTGGCTCCAACATGGTATCTAACATGACAGTCTAGTCCAAGATGGCTCCACGTGGCTTACAGTATGCACTCAAGCAGCCCCAAGCCTAGCTCATAGGATACAAAACCATTAGAATCTGATGAGGTGGCGTTTCAATATCGGTTGGGCCTAAAAAACTCCCAGACCGTCCCAAGACAGGTCTAAGAGACGACGCTTCGAGTTCCCGAGGGGCGAACGTGAATCCGCGCCGCCCCCTCGTGCGCGAAGAGAGCCAATCGGAGAAACCATGCGTGGTGAAGGGGGTAGGGCGATTCGGGAGCGTCCTTGGGAGGCTCTTGGGCCAAGGTGGCTGCAAAATTGCCCCAGATCGCCAAATACGGCCTCCAAGATGACGCAGCATGTATCATATTGGCACGCAGCATGCCTCCAAGAAACCCAAAATACGGCTCCAAGTGGCCGCGGGGCCGCCCACGGAGGCCCCAATGTGTCCAAATCTGTACAGCGCCTGAGGTTTCAAATGGTGTTTGCATGCTCGCACTGTCGCTTCCCATCGGCTTCTGTGCCTAAATGGCTCCAAGATCGTCCGAAAGAGACTCAAGAGAGGCCGAT